TCGCAGTTTGTGAGTTCAAGCCCCGCGTCGGGCTCTGTGCTGACAGCTCCGAGCCTGGAGCCTGCTTCCGATTCCGTGTCTCCCTGTCTCTGCCCCTCACCTTCTCTCTCTCTCTCTCTCTCTCTCTCTCTCTCTCAAAAATAAAACATTAAAAAAAAAACCTTAAGAATAAAATGGCATATGGACTTTCAAACAGGATAAAGGAAAAACTTATATTCAGACACATTACTGTGAAATTTAAGATCATAAAACAGACCACCTTTAAAGTTTCCAGGAAAAAAAAACCCAATCAGATAATAAAGAGAATCAGATTGACATTAGACATTTCAATAAGAATCCTGGGTACAAAATGATAATGGCTTAAGATTTTTATGTTGTTGAAAGAAAATCACCTTAAGCCTATATTGTATGTTCAGCTCAACTATTGTTTAATTGGACAAAAAAGGAAGATGTAGGTATGTGAGGCTGTAAAAGGTTTGCTATTCAAAGACCATCTTTGCAAATACCCTTGGAGGAAATATTCTAGTAAGAAAAGTAATAAACTCCGGAGACTGCTATGAGTTTGGAAACGTATAGGAAGTAAGGATGAGAAATTAACTCTATCGTTTATTTAAATGATGAAGGACCCAAAAGGAATAGATAATAATTCAAATTTTAGATAACATCAGAAAGCAAGATAAGAGTGATGATGGTAACAGAAGTGAAATGAGAGTATGCTTAATTATAACAATTGATCTATCTTAAATATTGTAGAGAAAAGCAAAAATACACGTCTTTATAAGGTAGGGGCGACTACCAAAAACTGTCTTTTAAAAAAATAGAGCCGGGGCGCCTGGGTGGCTCAGTTGGTTAAACGTCCGACTTCAGCTCAGGTCATGATCTCGCGGTCCGTGAGTTCGAGCCCCGCGTCAGGCTCTGGGCTGACGGCTCAGAGCCTGGAGCCTGCTTCCGATTCTGTGTCTCCCTCTCTCTCTGCCCCTCCCCCACTCATACTGTCTCTCTCTGTCTCAAAAATAAACATTAAAAAAATTAAAAAAAAAAAAAGAGCCTTCAAGGTACACAGGTAAATGTGATCTATACACTAGAAAGCAGAAGAGAGGCGGGGAGGAAACAAAATGCATAGTAAATGTAAAGGCTAATAAGATTTCTATCTTAGTTCAGGAAGCTATAACAAAACACCGTAGACTGGGTGGTTAAAATTTTTTTTAATGTTTATTTTTGAGGCACACACACACACACACACACACACACACACACAGCATGAGTGGGGAAGGGGCAGAGAGAGAGGGAGACCCAGAATGGGAAGCACGCTCCAGGCTCCGAGCTGTCAGCACAGAGCCCAATGCGGAGCCCGAACCCACAAACTGCGAGATTGTGACCTGAGCTTAAGTCGGAGGCTTAACCGACTGAGCCACCCCGGTGCCCCTGGGTTGGGTGGTTTAAACAACAAACATTGCATTAGAATCTATTTCTCACCATTCCAGAGGATGGGAAGTCCTAAGTCAGGTGTCCCAGATTCGGCATGTGGTGACGGTCACTGCCAGCAGTGCAAACAGCCACCTTCTTACTGTGTCTTCACAAAGCCTTTCTTGGCACTTACACATGGAGAGAGCACTCTGTCGTCTCTTCTCCTAAAAGCCCTAGTCCCATCATGAGAGGGATTAGGGCCACCCTCATGGCCTCCTCTCAACCTAATTACCTCCCAAATGCCCCACCTCTAAATCACATTGGGGATTAGAGGGGCATCTGGGTGGCTCAGTCAGTAGGGCATCCGACTGTGGCTCAGGTCATGATCTCACGGTCCATGAGTTTGAGCCCCGTGTGGGGCTCTGTGCTGACAGCTCAGAGCCTGGAGCCTGCTTTGGATTCTGTGTCTCCCTCTCTCTCTCACCCTCCCTGCTCATGCTCTATGTCAAAAATAAACATTAAAAAAAATTTTTTTTTAATCACTTTGGGGATTAGAGCTTCAACATATATAGGGACTGAAGGACATAAACATTCGTCTCATAACAATGGCAGAAATAGATTCTAATAGACAAATGGTAATAAATGTAAGTGTATTGATCTTGCCAAACAAAAGGAGACAATATTGGGGAAAAATTAGATCCAGCAACATTTTGTTTACAGAAGACAGACTTAACACAAAAGATACGAGAAAACTTGTAAACAAAGGGATGGGAAATTATATACTAGGAAAGTATGAATGAAAAGAAAGCCAGGACAACAATTTTAATATGAAGCAAAATATAATTAAAGGCAAAAAAAGTCCTAAGAGACCAAGAGAAGCACTTCATAGAAAAGAAATAGATTGAGGATTATAAAATAATTATTAAAAGATATACACCTAAAAATATAACACTAAAATAGTTAAAACAGGTATGGCAAAACTAGGGGGGGCAATCTGTATACCAACTATTGTAATTAGTTTCTATAAAATATTTGTTTGGCATGATTCATAATCTTGAATATATGGGATGAGTCACGAGAATGAACTTCAAAGTGACAAGGAAAAACAATCCTCAAACAAATGAAATGTTCACAGAATGTTCACCACGGAAGCATCAGAAATCAAGTCAAACCATGTTATTGAACTCTTAATGCTTTACAGTTTGGAATTGACACAAAAATAAAAGCTAAAATATATGTGTAAAAACAATAACAAACTACTAAATTGTCCTTGGATTGAAGAGGACATTTTAATAGAAATTAAAACTACTTTGACCTACACAGCAGTAAATACTATTCATGTTAAAATTTGTGGGATACTACTAAAATAGTACCATGAGCTAAAATAATGGCCTTATATGTATTTATTACAAAATGTGGAAATAAGCCAGCATACACACACACACACACACACACACACACACACACACACACACATACACATAATCAATGGCCAGACTGGGGCATCTGGGTGGCTCAGTTGGTTAAGCATCTGACATCAGCTCAGGTTATGATCTTATGGTTCCTGGGTTTGAGCCCCACATTGGGCTCTGTGCTGACGGCTTGGAGCCCAAGGCTACTTCAGATTCTCTCTCTCCTTCTGTCCCTCCCCAGCTTGGACTCAGCACAGTCAATGTGAAGATCCATGAGAGGAGGCTCCATCTCAGAAAACAGTGAGATCATGACCTGAGCCAAAATCAAGAGCTGGACGCTTACCAACTGAGCCACCCAGGCGTCCCTTTAATGCAAAACTCTTAAATGAAGTATTCACTTACCAAGTTCAACAGTTTATTGAAAATAATACAGCATGGTCAAGGGAAGCAATGAAAGGATGGGATCATCTCAGCAATTTTATTACAATAATTTACCTCTCATGGAATGAAGACAAAAGGAATGCGACAATTTCGGTAGATGCAGAAATCACTTAACAGATTTCAAAACATTTCTGATGAAAACAGCAAATGTGGTGGCGAAATGGAGAACGTTTCTAAACTTTCCATGCAATGCTGGGACCCACACAAGAACGACCCCTTTTGTGATTACTGTTTAGTGGATACTCGAGATTTTAGCATGGAAACATGGAAAATAAGTAGATTCACAAGTGCGGAAACAGAACAAAGTGGTGTTATTTACAGCCGACAAAATAACTTACATAGAATTTACAATTTGATTTACAGTAGGATCAACGGGTAAACCAGTAGATCCACACAAGAGAGTAAACATTTTTCCACTGCCATAGGCTGCTAGAAATGTAATAAAACATAAGACAGAATCTGTAACAACTAAAAACAATTTGGAATTAATCTAACAGAATATACAAGACTTCTCTAGTGAAAATTTGTGATTCCATTAAAGAACAAAAAAGACAGGGCACCTGGGTGGCTTGGTTAGTTAAATGTCCAACTTTTTTTTCTCTTTTTTACCATTTTATTTATTTTTTAAATTTACATCCAAGTTAGCACATAGTGAAGTGTCCAACCCTTGATCTCAGCTCAGGTCATGATCCCAGGGTCATGAGCTCAAGCCCCACATTGGGCTCTGCGCTGGGCATGAAGCCTACTTAAATTAAAAAAAAAAAAAATGACCTGAGTAAATTGACGTAGCATGTTTATGCACGGGACAGCATTACAAGAATGTCTGTTTTCCCTAATTACAAACTCTTTGCAAATTCACTCAAAATTCCATCAAGATGTTTTGAGCAATGTAACATATTTATCCTTAAATGTATATGGAGGAACCAAGGTCCACAGATAACTCAGTCGGTTTGAAAAATAAAAGGGTGCCTATCCTACCAGACAATAAGATTAGAACATTGGAACCATCGTGGATAAAGGAGGAACTATAAATCAGAGGGGACATTAACTATTAAGCAGGTTGAGATGGGAAAACTACTCCAATCTATATGGAGAAATACAAAGTTGGATATACTTCTTACCATGGACAGAGGTTCACCCTGGATTCATCCTTCATTTGAGAAATATTTATTGAACATCAACTCTGTGTGAAGGGCTTTTCTCATTACTGGGAAAGTGTCAGTGAGGAGTACAAGAGACCTTGCCATCACTGAAACCTTACCCGCAGAGGGTAAAGGTATAAAAGCAAGTGAAAGAAAATGCAGGATAACTTTTTTCATGATCTCGGAGTAAAGAGCTTATTACAGAAGAATCAAAAGGCACCTGATGGGTTTGACTGCATCATAATTAAACCTGAGCATATCTTAGGATCATACAGTTCAGAGAAACTCTCTTACACTTCCATAAGGGGACTCGTTCAAGCTTGCTCCACAGACCGTTGTGCTGGAACCAACCTAGATGTCTATCTCTAGAGGAAAGGATAAGCTGGCGAGAGCACACTACGGAATACCATGCACCATTTAAGGTGCTGAATTACACTCTGGGGCGCCCAGCTGGCTCAGTCGGTTGAATGTCGAACTCTTGATTTCAGCACAGGTCATGATCTCTGGGTTCGTGAGTTCGAGCCCTGCATCAGGCTCCAAGCTGACAGTGTGGAGCCTGCTTGGGATTCTCTCTCTCCCTCTCCCTCACAAGTGCCCCTCCCCTGCTCACATACACACTCTCTCTCTCTCTCTCTCTCTCTCTCTCAAAATAAACAAACTTAAAAAAAGAGAGACTGAATTACACTCAACAATATAGACTAGAACCAAACATGGTGTTCAGTGAGAAAGGTAATAACATAATTGGAACAATAGAATATTGTGTATGTAAATGTAAAAGACCTGTATTCACAACCAATGCTGTACCTTCTACAAGGGTGCATACATATCAAGGGTATATATCAAATAGTATTGAGCAACTTCCCATGGGGAAGGGTGTGATCATTGGAATGCGGCGCAAAGAGGATAACAATGAAATAAAACAGAAGAAAGGTCTTACATGGATTAATGGTGATAATGAGTTAAGAATTAAGGGATGTGATTAACACCAGTCCATATGGAAGTCCAAAAAAGAAAGAGAGGGAGAGAGATTCCGACTAAACTGTTAAGAGATGACCATAGGATCCAACCATCCTTGAACTGGAAGGTACCTTAGCATTCAGGCCGTCTAATTTCTTCTCGGGGCAGGACGCATCTCTCCCATATCCTTGGAAAATATCACCCTCCACCTAAACTACAACACAGGGCAGGCTCTTAGTGTAAGATTGTTCTAGTGGGTTCAGAGTTCTTTTTGCCATACGGTTAAAACTGCCCTCCTATAGAGAGCCAGCACTGGTGTGAGTTCTGCTGGTAGGCGTTGTATCCTCTGTCACAGAATGGCACCCAAACACTTAATACACCTGCCATTATTGTTTCTCAGGTCTTCCCCTCCCCCCCCCCCCACTGCTTCCTGTCCCACCTACCCGGATCTTGCAACTGTCCTTCACGTGACCTTTTCAAGGTCTTCTAAAAAATTTTCAGCAAATTATAGCATGGCATCCACATCGGCTACTCAGTGTGGCTTGCTGGTTGAGAAATGTGGTGAAATCCCACGGGGGACCAAGCATCATGTAAAGTGCTATGCACGGGTACTCAGAAAAAGGAAATCACTTCTACGAGAATTACGATTGCAAGGTCTTGAACTAACAGTCTTGTTCTACTAGGTTCTGAAATGAATGAAGCTCAAACAAATCTCTGCTATCTGGAACGAGTGGCTACATTTTATCTACTGACTTATTCAGTCATTTGTTCAAGAAATAAATATATTTTCATTGGCCCTGAATATGTTTTCTGTGCCAAAGATTGCTCGGGACTCTGGCAACTGACACATGCTTCTTTGGATATAGAATCAAAGACTAGGGACTGAACCCCAAGAAGCAGGCTTGCTTCTGGTGCCCTCAGCTCTCTGAATATGGTGACTGCATTTCACTTCTTACCTACTTGGTAATAGCTCTGGATTTCTATGAGCCAGAAACTCAGAATGGCTTACACTTTGGGACTCCAACCACACTGTCTGTTCATGTCATCCGGAAATCTCGAGCTCCTCTCTTGAATAACTTTGAAAGATAAGACCAGTAGGGTAAAATGAATCACTATGGCTTGAAGATAGGTAAGAGGATGGGCACAGAATTGGCACATTCCACACTAATCAGGTCTTAGTTAGAATGTCGAACCAGCAGAAAAATTCAAAGGACTTAGAACCAATTCAACAAACCCTTCAGGAATGTGCTTCTGGTCAGAAAGTTCTGTGAACGGGCATGGCTCTACACAGCACACATTTCCACGCTGGGGAATAGGAAGGAGACCCAAGCGTGCTTTGGGGGGCACTTAGAATCCAGCGGGAACAGGAACCACACGAAGGAGGGTACCTTTAAAATCCCCACACCTATCAGTGTGGTACACAGCTACATCCATGCTGCTGAAGTGGTTCGTGCATTAGTGAAATTGGGCAAAACCAGGGAGATAATGCATCCATGGATGTGTTTGACAGGAATATCAAGATTAGTAAGAAAGAGGAGAGCTAGAATGAAGGGGGAGAAGGGTGTGGGAGGGGTCAGGGCCCCCATCATGACCAAGCCCAGGACAGGCAGGGGCAGAGACCATGTTGGCTGTTTGGGAGGATGGAGACCCATGCCAATTCCACGTACATCTCCATCACCCCAGGACCCCTCAACTCCACCAGATACAGCTGGGCTCAGCACAGGGGCAGGGGCAGTGTTTGTTTTACAGATGAAGAAATGGAGAGCCAGCCTGGGGAAGAGGTTTATCCGAAGTCACGTAGCCACAGGGCTGGAACTCAGGCTCCTAGCTCACGGCCAAGTGTGTTCTCTTCTGTATGAAGCTGTGCTTCCGATTGCCTGGTCTAAAGGAGGGTGTCACCCATGATGTAGTGGTATCTTTGATAAGTCAGGGAGAATTGGTTCAGGCTGTCCTATTCCAAGAAAGAAGAGTGCTCAGGGGGAAAGGGGTTTCAAAGCTGCTCGTGGTGGATGCATGGGAGGTGGGGACATGGGGAGTGAGTTCTCTGAGGCTGGCGGACAGAACATCTTCAGTCGCCCAGTCCAGGAGAGTCTGAATAGCTCACTTACAGCTCAGCATTCCAGGTCCACATCTGCAGGAGAAGCAGGGTCACCGGTGAGAGCTGATACCTGACGTCTTCTCGAATTGCTTTGTTCAGTCTCCTTGTCTTCAAGGCAAGACCTCCACATATTCACTGTTACTGTTCTCTGGGGAAAGAAACAGAAGACCAGCCATGAGGATCAGTGCCCAGGAGTCTCACTGACCGACCTCACTCCAGGGAAAGAAGACCTCTCTCCAGGCACAGGACGACCTCAGTTGCTGCATCACAGTGGCATCTTCAAGGGCTGGGGTACCCCAGGGAGCTCTTCTGACAAAATGAGGGGGTCTCTTTACAAGGTTAGGCATCGGAGATTCCCATCCCAGATGCCTCCACCCCCTGGCAGAAAACCTGTGATTCCCTGAAACTGAGAGCGTCTCAAGCTTATTCTAAGGAGGCCAAGGGAATGGAGGAAGGCAACGAGCTGGGGAGAGGATTGTCTCCCCTTTGGGGAAAGCTGAAGACTCTGGGGGGTCACCCACCAGGGCTAATCAAGCATGGGCAGCTGGGGAGGTGAGACTCCTGCCCAGTTCTTAGGAAAGATCTTCAAAGGACGCTCCTCTTCCATTTGATTCTTTAATCATTGCTGGACAGATACTACCACCGCCCCAACCACCCTCGGCACATGTACATTCCTGGGTTTCTACCTCTGCCACCGCACTTTGTGCTTTTTTTCTATAATTTTTGGTAGAACATGGCCGCGGGACGACACCCGTAGCCGAACCTATATAGGAAGTGACTTTGTGTGTGCAGGGGGCAGGGGGCAGAGAAACAGTGGCGGAGGAGGTGTTTTTGTTTTCATTCTTTCATTACTTTCTTAAAGTTCATTCACTTATTTGGGGGGGTGGGAGACGGGCAGAGAGAAGAGGGAGACAGAGAATCCCAAGCGGGTTCCGTGCCATCAGTGCACAGCCAGACGTGGGGTTCGATTCCATGACCATGAGATCATGACCAGAGCTGAAACCAAGAGTCAGACACTTAAGGGACTGAGCCACCCAGGTGCCCCCGGGGGGGGGGGGGTATTTTAATCATTAAAAACCCATACTTCGGGACGACTGGGTGGCTCAGTCGGTGAAGCGTCCGACTCTTGATTTTGGCTGAGGTCATGATCTCACGGTTCGTGGGTTCGAGCCCCACTCTCCCTCTCCCTCTGCCCCTCCCCTGCTTGCACTGCCTCTCTCTCAAAATAAATAAACTTTATTAAAATAAATAAAGTAAAAAGCCATGCTTAGTTTTGTTGGGGGGGGTGAGAAGCTTGCCCTGGCACTCCGGAGGGTGATTTTGCTGTGGACAGAGTGGAATGTGAGGTGATTTCAGGTTCCCTGGAGCTCCCTAGCTGGCCTGGAACTCTCCTACCAACACCCCCAACCTGGCCACTCATAGCTGAAATCCCTCTGCTTGGGAACGTAGCCACACGCACCACCATGAGAAAACGGGGGTGAGCCAAAAATGTTTCAGGGGGTCTGAGCTAAATTCCAGCCACATTGTACCTGACGAGAGAGATTGTTTTCTGAGAGCAGGTTCAAGGTGGGGGTAAGAGAGTAGTTGCGGCTGTTCACGGTAACAATTTGAGAGGCCTCAGCGTGGATTCTTGGCACTCAGATTTACTGACCATCTCTCATGTTCCGCCATGTTTCCATTCCTTTAGGGATGTATCTGAAGTCACTCGTCCCCTAGCACTTATCGAGCAGAATGTGACAGTATGAGCCTTGGAGAGGGCCTTGGAGCGATTTTCTCATCTGAAAATTTTGCCTGCTTGTCCATCCCTTCCCCGAACGGTGGTTCGCACAAGGTCATGGGGCAAAGTCGGCCAGTGGAAGAAACGGGACTATAAGATTCCTTCTGGACCCCCCTGTTAAGGGTTTTTACCGTAAATATTATCCAACTTTATCTGTGACCGTCTCCATCTCAGGCGGGAGCTGGTTTTCTTTATGGGCCGTACAAGGTGGACCACCAGCCCTTGATTTGGTTTCTCAAATGCGGAGATCAATTCCTTTAGGTCTGGAAAGATCTTCTTGGGAGCGCCTTCCACGGTCTGCCAAGATACAAGAAGGAGATGGCTCGTCACCTTCAACTGTGAGTGAAATGTGATACTTCTCAAAGATGTGGTTTTCAGGGCTACCTCTGAGCTGGCAAACTGAAAATAAGTGGCTGGCGGTTCAAGCTTCAGAGCTCACCCCGATGGGGACCCCCCAGGGGGACTCAGCGGGTTAAGCACCTGACTCTTGATTTCGGCTCAGGTCATGATCTCACGGTTTGTGAGTTCGAGCCCTGAAACGGGCTCCACACCTGCTTGGGACTCTCTCTCTCCCTGTGTCTGCCCCTCCCCCGTGCATTCTCTCTCTCTCTCTCTCTCTCTCTCTCTCAATAAATTTAAAAACATTAAAAAAGAAGAAGACGAAGAAAAAGAAAAAAGAGCTCACAGCAATGGAAATACACAGAAACCTTTGTTTTTAAGACCGGCCTCTGACTTGAGCTACTGTGAGTAAAGAGAATAATGACTGAGGCGTCCCGCCTCGGTCTGCAGTGAGCCCCAACCTCAGCAAGTTGTCTGGGGTACCACACAGGGTACCCCTCTGGGAGCCGAGGTCAGACACGGTGCCTTGTGTGTGTTTTCTCCTTTTTTTTAAATTTAAATTTAATTTTAATTTTTTTTTTAATTTAAATCCAAGTTAGTTAACATATAGCATAATACTGATTTCAGGAATAGAACTTAGTGATTCCTCACTTCCTTAGAACACCCAGTGCTCATCCCAACAAGGGCCGGCCCATGTAACCCGTCCCCCCACCCAACGCCCCTCCGGCAACCCTCGGTTTGTTCTCTGTATTTAGGAGGCTCTTATGGTTTGTCTCCCTCTCTGTTTTTATCTTATTTGTCCTTCCCTCGTCCTATGTTCATGGTTTTCTTGATGATCACTGTGGTTCTCAGATGGCTCCATGTCAGACTGCAGACGGGTGTGGTGACCAGAAGTTTCTCTGACGTGTGGTGTGGTTAACCTTCATCAGAGATTCTGGCAGACTTTGCAGCAGACTGCAGGGAAGTTCCATATAAGGCCGTCACTTCAACCCAAGCCGCCATCCACTCACTACAGGCCCCTGAGAGTTTTGCTACCCCTCAGTGAGATGCCTCCTGTATCTGAGTTATAACTGATTTTCGTGCCTCTCTGCTTTGTCCAGACAAGAGACAAAATATGGTATTAAGGAATTATCACGATCTCCCAAAGCATGGACAACAAAGAAAAAAAGTTTTAATATAAGTTGCTTTTTAGAACACATTTCATTTTGAAATAATCTCAGACTTGAAGAAAAGTTGCAAAACTCTTTTTAAAATCTGTATATATATATCCTTCACCTACCCCTCAAAGGTTAACGTTTTATTGTGTATATTTGCTTTTCATTTTCTCTTTCTAAATGTGTATAGATATATGTGCATATATAGCGATACATATATATATATTTTTTATTTTGAGATTGAGTGTAAACGCGATAGCTCTTTAACCCTAAATGCTTCAATATTTCCAAAAAAAGCAAGGACATTACATATCCACACCACAATGATTAAAATGAGGAAATTAGGGGCGCCTGGGTGGCGCAGTCGGTTAAGCGGCCGACTTCAGCTCAGGTCACGATCTCGCGGTCCGTGAGTTCGAGCCCCGCGTCAGGCTCTGGGCGGATGGCTTGAAGCCTGGAGCCTGTTTCCGATTCTGTGTCTCCCTCTCTCTCTGCCCCTCCCCCGTTCATGCTCTGTCTCTCTCTGTCCCAAAAATAAAAATAAACGCTGAAAAAAAAATTAAAAAAAAATAAAATGAGGAAATTAATCTTGATGTAGTACAGACCTTATTCAAATTTTGTCAATTGCCTTAATAATGTCCTTTGTAGGGAAATGAAAAATTATATGTATATACACACACATCACACACACACCATACATCATACATACACACACACACACACACATATGGATATGGCTATATATGTGTGTGTGATATGTGTGTGTGCTTGAGGATCACTGCATATTCTAATTTCTTTTAAATATGCACAATGAACATTAACATATTGAAGATTCTGAGATATTTTGCAGTAAAAAGATCTGCTTAATCTTGTCTGCAAGTGTTTCAAAAAGATTATTTCAGGATTCCCTGTTAGTGAAGATTCAGTTAAATTTATTATACTCTACTTCCTAAGCCAGAGAAATCATTTAAAAAAAAAAAGGTTTTTTTCTGCTTAGTGCTCAGTAAACCAGAAAAATTAAAGAAACCCCCAAGACTGCTAGTCCACTGATGCTCCCCTTATATTTTCCTGTAACCATGGAGCTCACATGGCTTCCTATACATTCAGACCTCTCCCCACCTTCCCATTCCAACCCGCCCTGGTCATTGCGTCGTCTTCTAATTGGACAGTGGTCCCATATGGAGTCCAGGCTGGTGCATTTAACCCTGGGGGATCCAGGGTCATGCATACCTCTACGGGTCTGAATAACAGCCTTGATTATTCAAAAATTCTCCCTATTTCCCTCAGAGAAAGACAGGGTTAACTATTGATTTGACTCAAACTCTGCATGTTGCTTCCCTTTTTAAAATGCCTCTACGTGGCCACATCTCAGGTTCAAGAGATGATCTCAGATTCTTCTCCCCACCTTTTGTTGCTGCTTTTACAGCAGTTCCGGTACATTCTTACCTGTATGTTGTAAAACCCATGTCTCTCTTTGAAGATTCGGTATGTGTAGACGAAATTTTTAAACCTGTGGGAAGATAACTGTGTGAATCATTATATTCTTTTTTTCTAAGTTAATTTATTTATTTTGAGAGAGAGAGAGAGGGAGAGAGTATGGGAGGGGCAGAGAGAGGGAGAGACAATCCCAAGCAGGTTCTGAATCATGGCCTGAGCGGAAATCAAGACTCAGACGTTCAACCGACTGAGCCACCAGGCACCCCAACATAAGGTTCTCATAGGCAAATCCGGGTAGCATATACCTCTCTATTATGCGTGCAGTGCCTTTGGCGTTCTTGAATCCTAAAAAGAAACTGATCATTTTCAGGCGTTCTCATCTGTGGGAATTTGAAAGAGACAAAGGTTTGGAAATGGGGACCCTAATTCTGCTGGTGGACATCAGGGCTTGTGGCCAAGAGGGTAAGGAGAGAGAATTTTCTATTTCCATAGTCTTGGTACTTCTCTCTAGTTTTTTTCACTTAGCTCTAAGTTGGTGCAACATACAAAATGCCATTGAGCCGTTCCTGTACTGTTTGCCAAACGATGTGTCATTGACCTCGATAGAGATAGTTAGTGTTAATTAAAACAGAACGTGGAGAGTTCTGTCCAGGGAGGTGACATGCTGTGCTTTTGTTCTTCGTTGGAATTGGTGCCACTGGCTAAGTAATCTAACTGGAATCTACACAACAGACCCAATCTAACAATTTCCAAAGCAAGATATAGCATACAAACATTACCGTATTTCTGCAACTCCAAGATGCCATCAATGTAAAGTGTCAAATTAACAATAGCTTTCCAGGAGAAAAACGCATACGTTAAATGTTTCTACCAACCATTCAACATGTTCTGATCCCACACAAACATTAAAATGTAAAAAAAAAAAAAAAAAAAAAAAAAAAAAAGGGATGCCTGGGTAGCTCAGTTGGCTGAGTGTCTGACTTCAGCTCAGGTCGTGATCTCAGGGTTCATGAGTTCGAGCCCCAAATCTGGCGCACTACTGACAGCACAGAGCCCACTTTGGATCCTCTGTCCCCCCCACCCTCTCTCTGACCCTCCCCTGCTCATGCTCTCCCTCTCTCAAAAATGAATAAACAGGGTGTTTTATGGAAACCAATTTGACAATAAATTATATATTAAAAAATGAATAAACATTTGTTTAAAAAGTAAAGAGGGAGTGAGAGATTAAAGGCATTGACATGAGGTTCAAATTATCTGATGACTCTCCCACCACCACTTTGCACCTGTGCCAAAGAATCATTGGACTGAATTGAGAATTTAGAAAGCTACTTAGAGCGTTAACAGAAGCTTATTACAGAAGACTTTATCACTGTTTGTCTGAAGGCTTTGGCAATTGACTTCAAATTCCAATCCTTTTTGTGGGGTTTCCTGAGGCCGGAATAAGCCAGTGGGTGTCCCCAAATCACATGGGAAGCAACACAACATTTCACATGAGTCCTTGTCCACATGTGATAAGGTATCGCACATCTGGGAAGAGGTCTCAAATATTTCTTTTCACGGAGGTATCGTTCAAATTAGGATCCAAATGAGGTCCGTATGTTGCATTTGGTTGATCACACAGTCCTTAGAGACCCAACTATCAAATGTTAAGTTCTTAAATGACTTCAGTTTTAATTACACTGTTGTATTATGAACTAAGACAATCTCCACCAGAGGAATGTGAAAGATTAAAGCAAATGGAGTTTCTACGTTAACTAGTCCGAAAGCCATAGACTTCAAGTTATAAAGACAGACATTGCTCAAATTTGATCTTTTTCTTTGCAAAGCACTTAAAAATTTTTTTTGATGTTTATTTATTTTTGAGGAGAGAGAGACAGAGTGTGAACAGGGGAAGGTCAGAGAGAGAGGGGGACACAAAATCTGAAGCAGGCTCCAGGCTCTGAGCTGTCAGCACAGAGCCCGATGCAGGGCTCGAACTCATGAGCTGTGAGATCATGACCTGAGCTGAAGTCAGACACTTAACCAACTGAGTCACTCGGGCGCCCTTTGCAAAGCATTTTAAATGAAATAACGAGCCATGTTGCCACATTGCTTTGCAAAGAAATTGACTTTTTGAACTTGTGATACCTACATGCATTGATTTTGGAATGTTTAGGGGAAAAAATTCGCTAAGAGATTACAGAGCATATACTTTATATGACTATAGGGTCTTTGGGTAAACTTATTTTTATAGTAACTTATTTTTATAAGTAAAAACTTATTTTTTTAATACCCTCTGTTCTAATTATTATTATTTTTAAATTTGTTATTTTTGAGAGAGAGACAGAGAAAGCACGTGAGCGGAGAAGGGGCAGAGAGAGGGGTGGGGGGAGAGAAGATCCAAAGTAAGCTCTGTGCTGATGGCACAGGAACCATGAGATCATGACCTGGGCCAAAGCTGGACGCTTAACCGACTGAGCCACCCTGGTGCCCCTAACTGTTATTTTATAAATGCCACTTAAAAACTTATAAAAGAAACATGGTTCTTCCAGCATACATTTATACTAAAGATACATAAAAAGACCATGTTTATCCTAGGCCTTCGCCCCATCACCAATGGTGACGGGGGAGCCCCTTCTTCGGCTCCAAAGCTTACAGTCTTGCCTCTACTCTCTGCCTTCAGTCCCCTGGCCTAATCTCATCATGCCCTTTGTCCCTGCTGTCATCATTACAAGAACCCCAGTCTTGCTGGTCATTGACCTATTCTTTAATCATCCCCGTCCACCTTGCTCTAAAGGAAACCTTGCTTTGCCCCAGGACATGGCCCCCCCCCTGCCTCGTCTACAAGGCTGCTTCTTTCTCCCAAAGCCCTCCCCCTGCAGGGCCTGAGGGGGACACCCGTGTCCCGGTTCTCAGCTGTTTCCCTCCTTCCTCCAAACCCTCAGCTTTGAGTTTCACATCATTAGATTATGTCGCCTACCTATTGCCCCTCCCTGCTGCGGCATGTCGTGCCCCGGCTTACTGCCACTCGATTCTCCATGGCACAGCCTAGCTCTTAGCCCATCGTCACTGTCTTCAGTGCTATTCCTGCCTCAGCCTCCATGATTGTAGTCCACACGTACATTCCCCTGAGACATTCCAGTTTCTCACCTCCTTCAGCTCTTCTCCAGGGGCCTCACCCTCCACCTACATCAGCCACGCGCTCCTATGTCCAACAACCAGGACTGGGGGGCCCAGGGCAACATCAAAATGCAAGGCCCCTTGTTAAAAAATGGTTAGGAATTTCAACATGGCAACAGCAGAGCATTAAACCAAGTGCAGGGCCCTGTGGGTGGCAAGCCATGAAGCCAGCCCTGCTTTCTACTTTGAGCTTGTGATTGCCACTAACCGTAACCCTTTGTAATGTGACCTTCACACATCCCACTCTCTTGCTCCCGCTTCTAGACCCTTTCCTCCATTCACTGACCCCATCAATCCCTTGACCATAGAGCCTCCAATCTATTGGCCCTACCACTTTTCACTGTTGTCACCCTTGGCATGCTAACTGGTCTCACTTTGAATTAATGACCACAGACCTCCAATGGGCTCTTAGTGCCCCCACCCGAGGCAAGCATTTCCTTCCCTATTCCCTCAATAGTGATTCTACGTTGTCTCCTTTCTTCTTAAACCCTGAACACCTCACGCTTAACTGATGACTTCATAGAGATTCAAGCAATCAGAAGGAAACCGCCAGTCTCTGAATTGCCACAGCTATTAGCCTGTGCGGTCACCTACTCTGCCTTAATTACCATGCCTGAACCTTGCATGTTACTCTGGAAATAATCCCTCTTACTTCCACTGGACGCCATCCATTTTCATCTGTTCAAGGACATAGTTCTAGAAATTTCTTCCTCCCTCTCCCTGATGTCATTAATTATTATTCTTTCCACAGCTAGGGTGGCCCTTTTAAAAACTGTGAGTCAGATGTGTTGTTTTAATTATAGAGATTTATTAACTTTTTCCACTTGTTCAAAAGATTTTCCTATACAGGTAAATAGCAAAAATATTTGTCATCTATTTGCACCAAGATGATTTTGATTTCAATCGTCAAGTAGCAATTGTCATTGACTCTTATATCTTCTAATATTTAACAAATGCCTTGAATTTTTTGCAAAAAAAAAAATGTGAGTCAGGCTATGTCCCTCCTCTGCACAAAAATATGGTCAATTTATTTAAAAATTTTTTTACTTTTAAGTAATCTCTATACCCAACATGGGGCTCAAACTCACAACCCTGAGATCGCTCTTCCAACCAAGCCAGCCAGGTGCCCCAAATCTGGTCAATGTTGAATAAGAAAAATAAGATTGCTGCGTGTGAAGGGACGGCAGGGCGTGTTTCTGTCTTAACACATCTCATGTCTTCTTATAGAGCTATAATTAAGACAGCGAGGAACTGATTCGAAGGTAGAAAAGATATTAATGGAATAAAATAGAGAGCCCAGAAACAGATCCACATATGTCTGAAAACTTGGTCTATGATAGGGTTGGCACAACAGAGCAGTGAGGAGGGGACAGGCTAGTTGTTAAATGGTGACGGTGATGTTCTCACGTGTAAACAAGTAAAAGTGGACCCTACTTCACACTCTTTTTTTTTTTTTTAATGTTTATTTATTTTGGGGAAAGAGAGAGAGAGTCACAGAGCACTAGTGGGGGAGGGGCAGAGAGAGAGGGAGACACAGAATCCGAAGCGGGCTCCAGGCTCCGAGCTGTCAGCACAGAGCCCGACGCGGGGCTCGAACCCACGAACCGTGAGATCATGACCTGAGCTGAGGTTGGGAGCTTGACCTACTAAGCCACCCAGGTACCCCACCTACTTCACATTCTAATTGAAGACCTAACTGTGAAAAAACAAAACAGTGAGCTTAGGAGAAATAAATATGAAGGAACCACTTAGTGACTTGTTAAGGAAGGAGTTTCTTTCCGTCACAAAAAGTATAAGCCTTAAGAAAGATTAATGAACTCACTATATTCAAATTAAAATTTCTTGGGGCACCTGGGTGGTTCAGTTTGTTAAGTGTCCAACTCTTGATTTTGGCTCCAGTCATAATCTCACAAT